ATTCCTGCTTGCTTTTTTTTGATCCTACTTTCTTCATCTTTGTTTATTCTCTTGTAAGATATCTTGTGAGGTCTTGAAGAGTCAAGTACTTCTCAGTCAGGACAGTAGCCTTGGTCACTCTTGCTCTTTGGCATGTCTGCCTGGGTCATTAGGGCAGGGTTTGAAGGTGTATGTTTGAATATTTGTCATAGAATAATAACAGGAGCAAGTGCTGTTGCTGCATGATTCTTTCTGTGCTAGGAAAGGTGGTGAGCAGAAGAGATGTGATGAAGTTGATTGAGGAACTTCCATTATGTTACATTGGAGAAACTCTTTGATACGTACACAGAAGAAACTTTTGAAAGGCTCTAAAGCAAGTCTGTTGGTTTACTGCCTCAGCAGAGCAAGCCATTGAGAGGTGCTCCCAAGGTGTTTTCTTCCCAGTTGCATCGAGAAACTTCATAGTATATTATGTTCATACCCATAATGTGTTCTGCTTGGTTTTATTTTTTGAAACAAAATAACCAGAATGGTTTCTTGGCCCTGTGTGCCAGTTTTTTCTCAAGCACTTTCACACTTGCTTTTGTGCCATCCATCCATCTGGAAAATTTTGCCTTGTCTGCAAAAAACAAACTCCATTAAAATGCAAGCTGTTTTTCTTCTACTATCTGCTCATGCTTCTGATTGCTTCAATATCTGGGGTATAGTTATTTTAATTTGTTTCTGTGGATTTCATAGTAGTGAGATATGCACCTTGTGAACACAGCCTGGAATCTTCTAGCTTAAGTATGTGCTAGAACTGCATCTGTGAAGTAAAGTTACGAACTTTGGGGCCTCCATGAATACCTGCATTATTCCATGTAATTTTCTACAGTAGTGACCCTATAATGTCCCATTCCCCAGAATTATTTAGGATTCTCCTTATAACCCGAGTTCCATGTACATTCACTGGCTTTGAAAGATGAATCACCTTAGAGCTTCAGAAGAAGTCAGTCTTAATGCAAAATGTCCATTGTTCTGTTTTCAGAGAAGCTTAAGACTAGGGTGTGTAGCTGGGACCTTTGACTCACTAGGAGAAAGAACCTGTCGTGTACCCATTTCCCTCCTCACTAGACCTGTGTATTTTTGAGGAGTGTTAGGACAAGACCCGGGTGAAGAATGACTGCTCTAGGTAGGTGTTTCTTCCAGTATTCAGGTCTGATGAACCTACCAGACCGTCTGTTGAACTTACAGATCCCCAAGTATTCTCTTGCAGAATAGTTCATTTGTCTAATATCAGTAGTCAACAGCTTGGTTAACTGACGTCTTCTGGAGAGGTGCCTGTAACATGCTTTAAAGAAAGAAGACTTTTACTGCAAATACCAGGGTAAATGTCATGTTTGTTGTGGCCCGTTCAGGAGTTTAATTCTTGATCTCCGGTTTTATAATTATTTTGAGAAACACTTTTTAATTCTGTGTTCTGCCCTATTTAAAAACTCTAGTTCATGTTTAATGTGTTAGCCTTCCCTCCTGCAGTTCTCAGAGGAGTATTTACAGCTTTGATCCTGCAGTCTTTTCCTCAGTCTTTTCAGTGATTGACAGCAGTCATGTCAGTCTCTGCAGTAACAGGTTTAGGTTGCTATGGCTTCACCTCCATCTGTTCGGAAGGGAGGCTGGCAAGCAGCACTTAAGTTCTCATTTATTTTGAAGTTCACGTGTATTCTTTGATACACTTAATGACTTCCTGGAAGGGGTGTAGCTCTGGGCAGCAGATGTGTTTATTAATACTGTCCCATCTGTATATCGCAGAACAAAGTCATCTTGTATGTTGAACTACATCTTATGCTGGCTTGTCGTAAAGATTTGCTACATCATTGTAGATTGTTTGTGGACCCTCTTTAGGTTTTCTTTCTGCTAAAGATACTTCAAATTAGGATGCCTCTTACTAATTTGCAGTCAACTTATTTAGTCTACCTTTGAGATGTTCTTTGAGTATCATGGAAACAACCCAAAGTGTGATTTCTGTTTGTCACTTGCTAAGTCATTGTAATGATTCCTGGCTCAGATACCATGTTTGGAAGAAGTGTTCAGTGATGCGCTTTTCTTGAGAAGTTCGAATTATTAATTGCTTGTGTTTAGTAAGCCTTGTTTGGGTATGAATTGGGACCTCTGGTAGTCAAAGTTTTTATAGGTCCTTTTGTCTATGTAGTTCTGCAATGTGACTGCCACCTTTTCTGAAGCTGGTGCCCTTCCTCGAGGGTCCGTTTTAACAAGAGAACTCCGGGTTATTAAGGACAGAAACCAGGCCATGCACAGTGTGCGTGCAGGCCAGTATTCACTGCAGATAGGTTACGGGGTTCTAAGCACGATCATGTGCGACTTCCTGTTAAAGCTAAAGCTGAACAGCCAAAATGACGCACTTCTTGACTTCAGATAATGTCGTATCTTCAGAAATTTAGATTATGCTGGGTAATTCAGGGTAATAGAATACAGCTAAATACTAAATGTGTCTGTATACTTCATAGACCTCTTAAAATTGTAATTGATTTTAGGACCACGTTCTTGGAGGGATGCCTGGATTGGTCTAAATGACTGCGAATTCTTCAGAAATTGCCACTGCAAATAATGACTTGCAAATTTGTAGCAATGAATATTGCTTTTGTAATGCTCAACCAATTGCAGAATGATAATACATAAATCTTACTGCTGATCAGTCTGATTTCATGGGAATAATAGATTTGCTTTACTAGTAACTTACTAGTAGATCTTGAAAAGAAGTTGTTCTCACTTTGTCGATTTCTCCCTCTTTGCTACCTAGGTATTAATGGATATGTTCCATCAAGATGTAGAAGATTTAAGTGCACTAACTTTATCTGATGAGGAACCCTCCACCTCAGGGGAGCAAACCTATTATGACCTAGTGAAGTCATTTATGGCAGAGGTTCGACAATATATAAGGGAACTAAATCTCATTATCAGAGTTTTTAGAGAGCCATATGCCTCCAACTCCAAACTATTTTCATCTCATGTAAGTATTGTATAAACCACAAACAAAAAAAAGTACTATAATATCTATAAATCTAGATGAACACTTCTAGAACTTAACTATTGTCCAGTTTAACATACCAGTAGTAGAGGAAACACTTAGCTTGAGTTCTGAAATGGAAATAGTAGAGGAGCAAGGAGCACTTGTGGGGAAGCACTGGTTTTGTAGAAATGTGGAAGAAACCACCCAATTTACTATATCCACTTGCAGGCCTGTAATTTAAGATTTGTCACTGTTGTTCTTTGCCATGTTTGAATCATTGTAAATTTTCATATATTTACACATATAGTCATTACTTTAAAAATAAATTCTATGATCTTATATAAATTATACAGAGAGTATATAATAAAATATGTTACAAAATCTTGTTCTATTTAAGGAAGTGCTTGACTCCCATATCATAACAGTAGCTTTGCACATAACATTCTTTCTCTTAGAAATTGTGTCCAATTCCCTGTTGATTTTTGTCTGATTCTGTTGCTTTTTGCAGGATGTGGAAAATATATTTAGTCGTATATCAGACATTCATGAACTTAGTGTGAAGTTATTGGGTCATATAGAAGACACTGTTGAAATGACAGATGAAGGTAGTCCTCATCCGCTAGTAGGCAGCTGTTTTGAAGACATGGCGGAGGTAGGAAAATACTTGGGTTTTTTTTTTGCTATTCGTATGTATTTTAATGGCGTGCACTTAGATGCTAAGTGCATCTCTGTTCTAGCTGCCTTTGTTTAGGTTGAGATCTCTTCTTCCAGCCCCACCATGATGAACAGACTGCCCATTTTTGAGAGTGCTTTTACCTTTTTAGTCTCTAAACCTCGGGTTTTTATAGGGCTGTTCAAACTTCAGAGAGCAGGGGAGGGTGGGGAACCAGCTGTGACTAGACTTCGACAGAAATCGAGGTATCCTGTAAATTGGCTGTAGATCAGGATTGCTGTGGGAAGGCAAAGTAGAACAAGGGCTTCTTTGCCAACAGGCTTGCGAAGCTGGTGAGGAAGGCTTTCGAGCTAGGCTTGTTAGTGGATGGAGACCAAAGCTTGCAGATCGAAGAATTGAGAGGAGAAAAGGACATGCATAACAGAAAGCATGACAACAAAGGCTCTTGCACCTTCCTCCTGAGAAGGTGGGATGACCAAAGGCTCATCTGAAGTGTCTTGTTTCCCCAGCGTGTGTGTGCTCCTATACAGATAGGAGGATCTGGGAGTCTGTGCACAGTTGCAGAGCTGTCATGTGACTGGAATTAGTGACGTGGCAGGAAGGATTGCATGATGGAGGGCTGTACGAATGAACACAGGCGCTCAGGAAGGACAGGCGGGGAAGATGAGGCCAGGAGGCTTAACAAAAGATCAGCTCAAATACATGGAGCTCTGTTATGGAATGAATGATGAGCTGGTTGAATGCTTAAGGATCAGGATCAGAGGAGGAGGCCACCAAAGGGCATGTTGTGGTCAAGCTTCTCCTGCAAAGACTGCCCAATTGACAAGTGGCCAAAACCTTCTCTAAGTAAGTAGGAGTCATCTCCTTATCACAGGCCCTGGTGATTCTCTTGGGAGAATAACCTTCCTGACATCTGTTGGGTGGACAACTTACTGCGGTTCTCAAGTAATGCAGAAGATTTCTGGAGCGCACTGGGGACAGTTTTTGGTGGCACATGCTGATGGGCCAACTAAGAAAGGTGCTGCACTTGACATCTTTCTCATGAACAAAGAAGAACTGGCAGGAATATCATAGTTAATGGCAGGCTTGGCTGCAAGCGGTAGAGATGGTAAACTTTAAGGTTCTGAGAAAAGTGCAGGAGATAAGCAGACTGAAGACCCTGGGCTTTGGGAGAGTAGACTTAGCTTGTTCAGGGAATGGGGAAGCAGGATCACACTGGTGGCTGCCTTGAGGGTAGAAGGGGTTCAGGAGAGCTGGTTTATTTTCAAAGGCAGTGTGTTCAAAGCACAAGTAATATGCACTCCCAGTCCTTAAGAAAAAGGGTAGGTGTAGCAGGAGGCAAGGACAAGTGTTGGAGTTTCCTGTTTAACCAAACTCAGGCCCTTCACTACAAGACAGACATTAAGGTGCTGGAGTGCATCCAAAGAAGAGCAACGAAAGCTGGTGAAGGGTCTAGAGAACGAGTCTCACAAGGAGCAGCTGAGGGAACTGGGGTTGTTTAATCTGGAGAAAAAGAGGCTGAGGGGACACCTTACTGCTGTCTACAACTACCTGAAAGGAGGTTGTAACAAGGTGGGTGTTGGTCTCTTCTCCCAGTTAACAAGTGATAGGATGAGAGGAAACATCTTCAAGTTGTGCCAGGGGAGGTTTAAATTGAATATTAGGAAAAATTTCTTTTCTGCAAGGGCAGTCAGGCATTGGAACAGGCTGCCCAGGGAAGTGGTTGAGTCCCCATCCCTGGAGGTATTTAAGAGACATGTAGATGTGGTGCTTAGGGACATGGTTTAGTGGTGGACTTGGCAGTGCTAGGTTAACAGTTGGACTCGATGATCTTAAGGGTCTTTTCCAACCTAAACGATTCTATGATTCAAAAAGAAACACAGGCTTCCCAGGAGGAATGTAGGAGCATTGTCTAGGCAGGTGGAAATGGTATTCAAAGGGCTGCAGCTCAGCTGGAGTTAAACTTGGTGAGGAATGTGAAGCAAAGCAAGAAGGGCTTGTATAGGTAAAATAGCATGAAAAAGAAGATTGTAGAAAATGGAGGTATCTTGTTCATGGGGTGAGAGACCCTGTGCCAGAGGACATGGAATGGACTGAGATACTCAGGTCTCCTTTGCTTGGTCTTTACTGGCAAGATTGTGGTTCTAGGTTTCCCAGTTAGGCCTGCTACCAAAGATTGAGGAAGAGAGATGAAAGTCAAAGATCAAGTTAGGGACTATTGATCTAAGGTGGATATATGCAAGTCTTTGGGGCAGGAGAGGATGCTGAGGCAGCTAGTTAATGTTGCAAGGCCACTGTCTAGAATTCTTGAAATTTAGTGGTGAGTTGTGGAGGTCTCCAGTGACTGGAGATGAAGTGTTATGCCCAATCTCAAAAAGACTGATGGGGAGGATCCTGGAAACTAGAAGCTGGTCAACCTGTCCTCAGTCCCCGAGAAGATTAGCAAATCTTTCTGGAATTCACATCCAGCCATGTGAAGGACTAGATGATGATTGGCAACAGCCAGCACAGATTTCTGAAGGACAAACTGTACCTGACCAACTTGACTGCTTTCTAAGAGGAGATGGCTGGCTCCATGGACAAAGGGAAGAACAGTTAATATCTCTTGTCTGAACTTGAGCAAGGCCTTCAGCACACAATTTCTCATAGTATCGTTATAGTCAGCTTGGTGAGGTGTAGACTTAGCTAGTTGAATTATAGAGTGGGTGGGAAATTGGCTGGGCTGGCAGCCTTGAAGGACTGTCATCAGCAATACAAAGTCCATCTGGTGGCCAAGGGTTAGTGGCATTCCTTGGGGTTTGATACTGGGGCTGATACTGTTCAATGTCTGTATTAGTGTTGTGGGAGAAGGTGCCTCATCAAGATGCCAAATTGTGGAGGGACACACAGGAGGACAGGGCAACTTCTTGGGAGACCTGACAGGCTGGAGAAATAGACCTACAGGAACCTCATGGAGTTGAGTAAATGCAAACATAAAGTTCTGCACCTGGGACCAAACAATGCCATGCAATGGTTCCGCTGCCTGGCTCAGGAGCAGTACTGCTTGACAGGGCTTGGAGATCCTCAGGAATCAGCAGTGAAGGCTAACTGCCTACTGGGTTACATTAGGAAAAGCATAGCCAGGAGGTTGCAGGATCGTTTCTGTGTAGCACTTGAGACCACATCTGGCATATTGCATCCAGTTTTGGTCTTCCTAGTATAAGATATGCTTATACACAAGGGTTGCCATGATGATTAAGGAGTTGAGGCCCATGATGTACAAAGAGGGTTAAGAGTGCTGGGTTTATTCAGTCTTAGAAGTCTGAGGAAGGAGATCTTATTGCTGCCTTCAGTTACCTGAAGGGAAGGTGTAAAAAAGACTGAGGCAGACTCTTATTGGGGGCTCACAGTGGAGAACTGTGAGGTGAGATGAGAGAAAGCATGCGAATGGTAAAAAGAGTAATCTTTGTTAGATACTGGGTGAAAAAAATCTGCACTGAGAACAATGGAACATTGGAATAGGCTGCTCAGAGGAGTTTTGGTGCTTCCGTTCTTGGAGGTACTCAGAACTCAACTGGATGAGACCCTGAGCAACCTCAGCTAGCTTTGATACTGGATCTGGCTTTGGCCCTGAGGTGGGCCCTGCTTTGAACAGGGAATTGGACCAGTTGACCTCCAGAGATCTCTTCCAGACTGAATTACTCCGTGAGTCTCACAAGTACGTAAAAGTATTGATTCTTTTCTATAGGCATCTTGGAAAAAGTATGCAGAAAAGCCTCTCCCATGTAGTGTATGTATTTTCTTTAAGAAATATGAAATTTAGATATTAAATCATTTTTGTAAAATTATTCTGTATTTCTTCTTAGGAACTAGCATTTGATCCGTATGAATCATATGCACAAGATATTTTGCGACCTGGTTTTCACGATCATTTTCTAAGTCAATTATCAAAGCCAGGAGCAGCATTTTATTTACAGGTAACTTTCTTTTAAGTAAGCCATATTATTCATATTACTATTCTAATTACATTATGTTGTCGCTTCAGTATGTTTATTGTTTTAAGACTGAAACTTATTTTGTTTCTAGTCAATAGGTGAAGGCTTTAAAGAAGCTGTTCAGTATGTTCTACCCCGGCTGCTCCTTGCCCCTGTTTACCACTGTCTTCATTATTTTGAACTGCTAAAAGTAAGAACGCTATGTCAGTCTGATGTTTTTTTTCATAATTCTCAGTGTTGGATACCAGAGCTTTGTGTGCTCAGTTAGGTGTAAAACCTTTTACTAGAATGTGAATAATAAAACTGCTACGATGAAAGAAAAGCAGGTTATGTGCTCCGGTGCGTGCTATAGCTCTCTGAATATAAGCTTGTAACTTCATGGAAGTTTTACAGCAGCTAATGATTTGTGTTGAATAATCACATTACTATTAATTTAGAAAGCAATAGAGATCTAGGTACTCATATTCTGTGAATGATTATTTCAACAGTGATAAGAGATAATGGGAAGTGGCTGTATTACAGAAAATGTCCAAGGCTTTCTCAAGCTATTAGTTTATAAATTTAAAATCACAGTAAGATTTCCCTTCAGACTGAATTTTATGTTCATAAAAGCTTCAGTGTTCTTGCAGTGCACATCCCATGGTGGTTGTAAAGGTGATATTCCCTCCTTCAAAGGGAAGGCTTGGTTGATACGTACACTTTTTGGGCTTTTTGTAATTGACCTCACATCGGTAGGGTAATGGTAAAGACTCTGTAATATACACATGTAAAGAAAATAGCAATGGAAGGTTTTTCTGGGGCATTTATCAGCTAACATTGAATAATAATCTTCAAGGAGTGTAGAGCATTTTGAGGAAGACTTTCAAGTAGAATCTTCATTTGGACTTAAAGGAAACTTATAAGGGATACAGTGTTCCAAACTTAATTACTTGGGGAAATTTGGATCAGAAGTAAAAAAAAAAAACAACCTCTGTGCCCTTTTGAAGAAATCTGGATGTGTTTTTCTTGAATGTTTGTTTGGTTGTCTTGGGATAACCCAGTAGTTAGGTAATCTTTGAGTGTAAGTGTCTACAGTTTTAACACCATTTTTACTGATTCAGATCTACACGTACAGCTTTGGCACTTAGCTCATCTTGTATAAAATGCTTTTTTTTTTGGAACATATGCTTGATCTGTTTGTCTAGCTCATGGGTTTGGTCTGACTTTTCAGACAGCTTTAACATATTAAACATTTCCTTTCATGACAGTCTGTTGGAAGGGAGGTATGATACAGCTTGTCTGCATTTCATATGATAAAGACCTGCACAGACATAAGGTTTCTCCGTTTATGCTTTTATCACACAGTCTCAAAATGCAGTACCTAGTGGCTTTGCATACTTCCATGTGAACATGGTGTTGTCTTACGTAATAGACAAAGCATGAAGGATTAATGTCGTCTGACACACAGGCATCCTATGTTGCTTCTTGCCATTGGTAATTTTAGTGGGGGAAAGAGGGCATGTGTGCTTATGGGAACAGGGAGCAGCTCATGTTTGCCTTTTTTAGGGCAAACTGGAGTCTAAGCTAAGCTCGTCTCCAGAAGGTTATCAGTCTTTTTGCAACTCCTGACCTGCGCTTTATGTAAAATTCTTGTCTTTTCTCATTCATGCTCTACACACACACACCCTCCACCCTGTGTAAATCTGATGATGTTGGGTTGGTTTTTGTTCTGTATATGATAACCTTCCAGGTTTTCTTCCCACTGTGTTGCTCATCTCACATTTTAGTGAGACACCCGTTCCTGTGGTCTGTCAGATGTGATACATATAATAGGCAGTGATGCGTAATAGGAGCACATGAAGAGAGAGAGATTAGCTCTCATGGCAGTAGCTTCATCTGTTAATTAGTACATACATGTGCACACAGCATATGAATCCCTATCTCAAGTAGTCTCTGCTGGCAATAACATTTTCTTTCTTGTATCTGGAATCTTCAAACAGATTCCAGCTTGGTTATACTTAAAAATGGCCTCACAGAAGGGTATTTGCTACGGAAGGGTAGTGGTGGAATTATTTAGCCGTATAATCCTGACAACTTCACTGATGCAAGGTTGTATTGAATTCTCTTGTATGGTAAGAGACCCAATTTAGTGATCGCCGGCATATCTATGAACAGTCAAGTTAAAAATGCTATGAAAATGGATCTCTTGGTATGAAGAGACAAAATGTTGGCAAAGTAGTATGTGGAAAAAACATTTTATTTCTCTTGAATATAGATATACTTAAGGATAAAGGGGTTAGCATTTTTTTGTTGAGCTATGTTGTGTAATCTTGCATACCTTGAAGTTATCTATTTAAAATGCATCTCAAAGTTACCTTCTAACTATGCAGACTACAAAAAAAAGTAAATTTCTATCCACTGGTGGTTATCCTATTTAGCAGCTAAAGCCCTCCTGAAGTTTGGCAGGGCACCAGGAACACACAAATACATATTCTATTTTTAGCTGAAGCTCCTTGCTGTAACTTTGTTGGAAAATTAGCATATGACTAAGGGCTGTGTTTTCCTTCAACCAACCTGGAAGTCCCCAAACTTTTATATAAGAAACTAACTATATAAAATAGCAGCTTCATATGAGACTGTGCTTTTCTGCAAATTTGCAGATACTATGAATGAGCTTTCCTAAATGTGGACTCTTAAGTGAAAGGTAGGGTGGTACAAATAGTGCAGTTATTTATGACCTTGAGTTATTGAAGAAAGACGTTTACAAGACTTTTAAATTGAATTGGGCACTGTTTCAGATGCTGTAAATTTGTGTGCATGTGTGATACTCTTTCCTTTCTTTAGGTAAACAGAAGATTACTTTAAGATTCCTTTTTTTCCAAGTAGGAATGGCTCAAAGCATATATAAACTTTGCTTAGATAAAATAATATGTTCTGGAAAATAGGAGAGCTAGATAGAGGGGTGTGTGAGGGTTTTTTTTTTGTTGTGTTTTTTTTTTTTTTTAAACCAAGTGCAGACTTGGTTCCCACGACTTATGGAAACTTCTTGTCTCTTTGCAAATATTTTTTTTAGTTGGAATTCTACCTATAATGATCTTAAATTCTCAGGATGCTTTCATTTCACAACAGCATCTAGCATGTTTTATTTATTTTTTTTCGAACTTTGTTCTTAGGTGATAAATAACTTGCCAGTCTTTACTAACTGGCAATTCAGCTCAAGTAGAAATACTCCTCAATTAGACTTTTTTTGTCTTCCTCTTTCACTATGGTAATGTAACTTTAAAATAAAGATTATGGTTTGACAAGGTCTTCCAAGATAAGAAACGTCCCTTTTCCCAACCTGATGGTATTAAATTTGTTACGTGTTCCTGGGGAAGGCACAGGGTAGTGAAACGTTAGTAGTTGAGGACTAAAGTATCTTTAGGTTGATCCCGTAAGCCTCTTGCTGTGTGTTGTGTTGGGCAACACATCCCAAACTATTCTGGGCTTTGACTTCACTTTGATTCTCAGCCTTGTTTCAGCCAGGCTCATGATCGAGTGTAACAAATTTAATGACGTTGGTTTGTGATCCCATCTGTAACTGGTGTAACCCAGCCCAGGGTGGAGATTCACTGAGTCTTAATTAGTTGAACTTTGGCAGTCTGCAAAGTTTTTACAATATCTGCAATTATAGATCATTGTCTCAAAACGTTGTCTGTGTTGCTTGTATTTAGTACAGGCACTGCAATTAACAGGTTCTCTTGCTTTAGTTGATTCTTAAAGTCTTCTTCAATTAATATTAAAAACAGAAAATCACAGATTCAGACTAGCTATGAATTATTTTAAGAAAGTATTTACTTAGTGTTAGCAAAGGATTTTTTTTTTTTTTCCCCAAAATCACTTTGTCTGGTGTGCTTCTTTCCAAACACAGTAACTTGTATGTACAATACTGTTTTGAAATAAAAGTAAAAGCAGAAGTATTACTGTTTGACCTGTATTTGTATATGTAGCTGCAGATGAGGATGACTTTTTTTACATCCACAGGAGATAATGTGCAATTTTATGTCTCTGTGACAGATGAAGGCCTATCTGCTTGAGGAAATGTAGCTTGACCAAACTGTTGCTAGTGTGTGATAAGGACTGCAAAGCATATTTGAGTTTTTCTTGGGAGAAAAAGCTGGGGTGATGTAAAAATTGGTCTCAAGTCTAAGAAGAGATTTCCTAGAATACGACAGTAGGTGAAAAATTTAAGCAACTTCTTCATGTGGTTAAGCTATGAAGACTTACATTACAACTGCAGTGTTGTAAAGTTACAGAAGTTGTGCTTTATGGTAGAAGTTGGAGGTGATACAGCCAGGTAGATGAGGTTCTGTATTTCTTTCTTGCTTGTGTGGTTTCAATGACAACATTTCTCTTGCTTCTCTCCTTTAAATGCTAATGGGTTTATGCTTTAAGTCAGCTGTGTGTTTGGCAGCCAAAGGGAAGATGATGGGGAAAAAACTTTGTCACACGTGTGTGCACTTTTTTCCACAAACTTGGTTATTGTTAATGTAACTAATTGGGCTCTCTGAGGTAACTCTCTAATTGAAAAAGTTATTCAGGTTGTATTTGATTTTTTTCCTTCTAGCTGTGGTACTCGTTGATGGATTTCCTATGTGTTCGTATCAGCGATACATATATGCGCATGTGTATCACTTCATTTGTCAATGACTTATGTCATCTGTTCTGGAGTTGTGATGGGGCTGCATGTTCTGTTGTATAGCTTTTTTCTTTTTACACAGGATGCATCTGGGCTTTTGAGAAGCAGATATCTCTTTCCAGGGAATTTTCTAATGAGAAGTAATTACTTTGGAGAATATTTTTTCCATTATCCCACTAAAACTGCTTTTCTGCAAAAGCCTGGGTAAAATCTAACAAAAGTAAAAGTAAAAAAGTCCTCCTTCCACTTTGCTTAGTCCTCAGTGACACTTGAGCTGTGTTATTGTCAATCTGCTGCTGGACCAACAAATGCTGTACTTTGATCCCTTGAAGCAGGGAGCAGGATGGCACAGGGCCAGACGGTTCTTATCTAGATGATGCCCTCTTTCACGAGTCAAATGAAGCACTAACTGAACTCTGACTTTTGACTTCACTTATGTGTTTAACTGTAGGGTTCCAGAGTCCTGTTTTCTGATCCATTTTCTAGGAATACCTGCAGGGCAAATTCTCCAAGGTACTGTGGGATTTAGGAGA